CTTGAGCTGAAGAGCTGAGGGACAGTGCCCAGGCCCAGCGTTCAAGCCCTACAACCAACTAAATATATATATATATATATATATAATTTATGTTAATATATATAAAACCAACATAAATTAAGGTGGCTGTTATTAATGAACATCTTTTTCTGGAAACTTTTGATATCACTGCTGCCTTGATGGAAGTTATGAAGTTATATGTGTGTGTGTGTGAAATTTTATTGACTCATAGCAAAATGTTTGGCACTGTTCTATAAGTGATTAAACCTAAATGAAAAGTCTTTAAATTAGGAAAAAGTGACAACATTTAAATTGGCTGGGGATAAGGATTAGGTACATACCCTCAAATGACAATGAAATGCTTGATCACAAAACTGGATAGACAAGCCTGTCTCATCAGTGGTACGTACAGCTCACTTTTGTTACAGGCAAGAATCTGTGCTGAGCACCTGCCTCCAAACAAAAATGACAGTTGTGCTGAGCATTTTCAGTTTCTTTCTCTCAATCTACCAGTAACCCACATCATGTCTTTTCTCATCAGGTAAGAAATAAACCAGAGTTTTTGTTTATGTTGTTATTTCCGGATCCCAAACCCAAGCTCCGGGAGTTCCATAAGGCAGGAAGACACATGTTGAAGGGCAGGCAGAGAAAGGAGGTTTATTAAATGACATGAATGCCATGAGAAAACCCTTCCGCCCATCTTCAGTCATCATCCAGTGTACATACATCAGCTACAGATTTAAATAGACAAAGAATGAGGGGCAGGGGTTGAGAGTATGCAGTGAAACAAATCAGTGTCCAGAAGTGGTCATGTAGCAAGAGGAGGTATCAGAGGGGGTCTCGATCTCACCATTGCTCAGAATGACTCCTGGCAAATAGTCTCATCTCCTATCTACTCCTTCCTGGATTCCAAGATGGCTACCAAACGACTCTAAGAGTCAATGGTTCTGGGCAAAGGAATGAGATACAAAATGGCTGCCTAGCTTTCATCCTCCTTTCAGATGTGCCCCAGGAAGTAACATTTCTCAGCAAAAAAATAAAATAAAATAAATGGTTTTTAAGCAGCAGTTACAAGAAGAGTGGTCAAAGTGAGTCCCTTAAGGAAGAATCATGAAGTGAAGAGACAGATTTCTCTGCCAGCTATAGCTTGAGTTCTCTGTGCTTTGGTCTTGTTAATATTATGGAAGCAGAAGAATTGAACCTATATGATCCTATGTGGATTGAAACCGATAATTCGTGTGAATGCTTGTTCCAACTACCAAGAATTTGACATTGGAGGAGCAATATATAGAAAATTAAAGGATAATAAGTTCTTCCCAAAGAAAATCTGATCTATTTGTATTCTTAGCACTGAAGCCCAACAGGTCAAGACCCTTGTCCAAGTTCCATGGCTTTTTGGAAATAGACCATTGGCAGACAAAGGCAGAAGTACATCTAGATCCCAGCTGCTTGGTGGTTAGACCAGAGTGCTCTCTGCTGAGTAGTTGTGAATGGCATAGGATGGAGTTGCTGATCTTTCTCTCAGCCACTATGTAGATCCTGTCACAGAGGAGTCCCTGCCTTTTCCTACCTCCACGCAAACACTGTGTCCTGCTTCCTTCGGGGAGCAATTTATAGCCCTTGTTGTGCTTTTGTAACAAAAACAAGACTACTATTTAGAGTTGAGGTAGTTGTTTTCACAATCCATTGTGAAGCAGTCAGGCAGGTGTTCTCTTGGAGGTAAATAAACACAGTCAACCTCAATTATTTGATTCCATTTAGTATATTAGAAAAGGTAACGGTTTAATGATACCCTAGCGGTCCATAATAGTAAATGCACCATAGTAAAAGAATTACAGAATCTCTTTTTCACTAATAACTCTTGAAACTAGTATCATGAAAAGTCACTAAACCCCAGGGAGTCAAAGCGTTTCCACCTTTGTCCAAGTGACAATGCCATTGGTTTTCAGTTCTTTATTCACTGATCATAAAAATAAAAGCTATTTTGAGGACAAGGGAAGCTGCAACATTCCCAAATGGCAATTCATTAACATGAGCCAGCCTAGCTGAGACTGGGTAGCAGCTGAAGAGAGAGTTCTGCGAAGGGTTGATGCCTTTGTATGTGCAGAGCCAGGGAGAAGGAAATGAAACTTCAGACTGACACAAACACTCAAGCTATTTGTATTTATTTTGGAAGAATGTGAGCAATTACCTTGTCAACATGTGCCTAGGCTTTTGGCTCCTTGTAAGACAAATACTGAGAGGCTAGTCTTCTTTGTCATAGTTTTCTGTTGATAGATTGGGTTCCAGTACTCCTAGTTAGTAAGGACAGCTGTGCAGATCTGGAATGATCCCAGAGAAGGAAACAAAACCAGGCTTGGCAAAGACACCAGTGCACAGCAAGATGCCCCTGTCTACTGCCTTCAGGAAAGAGCCTCTTCTGTAGATTCCTATCTCTGCCTTAGGCAGAAAGAACAAGCATCAGGAAGGCATTTTGGATCCTACTTATGACACACTCCTCTCAGCTGGTAAATGGTTAGATTAATATCTATTTGGCAGGATAATGGTGAGCCTGTGATCTCATTTATTCAGTGCTATATGTAGCTAATTCTCAAATACTAGCTGTTACTAGTACTAAAGATATTTGCTATTAAAATCAAGTAAATATTGGTGAAACATCAATAAAAACACTTTCTACTGCTCGTTTACATGCATGCATATGTGTGCATATATTTGCATGCATGCATCTGAAAATTGCCCATAATAACATCTGTAGATAATAGAGGGTACACGGCTCATGAGGCAGGTATTAGTTGGCGCTGTTCACTCCTGTGTTGTGGAATACTTATTATTATCAATCACTTTTACTCTGAAAAGTGATTCAGTTACATAATCATCCTAATAAGGATCAAAAAGAAAACATGAATCTCACAGGAATTGCTACCTTAGTGCTGATGAATGAAGTGGTAACTAGACAACCACTGCAAAGACATTGGTACTTGGAACGCCAACCTTCACTTTTTGTTTGTTAATATCTTAAATAAATAATAGCTATCAGAACAAGAACAGAAAACTCATGGTCATAAGGCTTATCTCTAACAAGGAATTTTCCATTTGTTACTGAACATTATGTGTTTATTTTTCTTGATCCTGTTATTGATTATAGTTGCTACAACTTCAGTTGATGGTGTTAGTATTAGCTAGGAAGATGTAAATGAAAGGCTCACAACAGAATATCCCATCTACTACCACCCCTCTCTTCCTCTTCCTCACCTTCCTCATTTCTCCTCCCTCAGCCATCTCTCCCTTCTTCCCTCCTTGGAAATTTCTCTAATTCTACTATCTTTAATATCTATCTGCAGCATTTGGGCACTTACAGAGTCACATAGTTGTGCTTGCTTAAAACTTATGAGACAGATGGCACTAATTTACCTGTTTTAATTATACTAAGTGTGGAAATGTTGGCAAAGGAAACAAACATTAGGAGCCAGGGATTCTGCCTGACAAACATAAAGTTAACCTGTGTTAATGACATTGCAATTTTGGCAAAGAGCTGCTGGATCTTTGCTTTTTGTCTTATGTAAGTTTCTATGTTTATTCTGTATGACATGACTACAATATACTTTTTCTCATTTTCATCTTTTTATATCTCATTTCATCCTGGAAAACTTCCTTTCAGCCTGAAAAATATTACTTCAGTAAATTACAATTTTAACCATGATGTATAGCAATGGTGGCAGACAGATTTGGTTTTGAATCCTTTATCCCCTCTGACCCAGCTTGAATAATTCTGAGTCTTATTCTTAGGGTGATTGTATATATAACTTTTCACATTTTTTGACTTTGTCTAAATAGATCATGCCTTCAATAAAATTCTTTAGAAATGTCTATTTCCATCCCAAGCTCAACATCAAAGCCCAAATTCTTTACCATTCCTTCTAAAGACGCCATTATCTCCACCTTCTTGAAATCCCTTTGCTGTCTATTGAACCATATAGGCTGGAGAAAGAGGGCAACTGGCATGGAGCTTAAAGATCCTCTTGCTCTTAATCTCAGAAGTGGATGAATTTGCCCACTTTCCTGGCCTTTTTGAATGCACATGACAGAGACCCCTCAGCATCAGTCAAGTGGACAAAGGAAAGCCTACCACAGAGCACCAAGTCACTGAAACTAAGCTCAAAGTCTCAAAATTATGTAATGGGATAACTACATCTAATTTCCAAGCTTGTTCCACATATTGGGTCCATATATGAGTCCTAAATTTTGGCTTCCAACATGGTGCTTAAATCAAATGCAATACTGTTCCTAGGAGAGAGCCAGGAAATTTTCTATTCATCTGTGGATGGATAGAAACATCCACTGGGCTTTTGAAATTCACAGGTAATAGATAAGAATAAAATTAATGTGCTGTATAACTCTTCTATCAAGAAATACTTTTCTGAATACATTCCTAATATTGAGTAAATCTGATTTAAATGCATTTCCAGGCATGTATATAAGAAGAGATTTATACTTCCTATTTTTTTCTTCCCAACTTTGAGTTTTTGTGGCATTAAAGGCGTTAAAAAAATTGTAAACTCACCAAAAGAAAATATCACAAACTGAAATTTCATGAATAATAGATTGTTTTAGAGGAAATGAAATACAAATCCTTTCCCACAACAATGAGTTATGGAAATTTTGATGTAAGTATCAGTGTACCACAAGGGAATAGGAGCTATTCCCATTGTTCCTAAAAAATGTCCTCATGCTATGAGAAAAATCCTTATTTTCACCTTTATGAAGTTTGTCCTATATCTCACAAACCATTATTGACTAGAGGAAATGAAACGCAACAAATCTATTTTCACAAAACATACGCCACAGCTGGTGCCAGGTACCAACCTCACACAAGTGGACTTGGCTTCAACTTAGTGTCCTTTTCCTTTCCTGTCAACAACCCTGAAGCGCTTGAGAATTAAACCTGCAGACCTATTCTTCATGACTGTGGCATTGGCAGTGATCCGTTCTTATTGTTTCAGGCAATGAAAGCTTAGAAGAAAACTACGTCCAGGACAGTAAGATGGGGTTTGTCATCAATGCCATCTATGCCATGGCACATGGTCTGCAGAACATGCACCATGCCCTCTGCCCTGGCCACGTGGGCCTCTGTGATGCTATGAAGCCTATCGATGGCCGTAAACTCCTGGACTTCCTCATCAAGTCCTCATTCATCGGCGTGTCTGGAGAGGAGGTGTGGTTTGACGAGAAGGGGGATGCTCCAGGAAGGTAAAGCAGTCCCTTCTATAATTGCTCTGAAAAAACAAACAAACAAACATGATCCTTCCAGGTCAGACAGTTGACAACTAGGGTTTCATTCCCACCCCCACTCCCCCCATAGTTTGGGGGTATCAAAAAGAAATTCAACCAGACAGCTAAAAGGACTGGGCTATCTCAGACAGACATTACTAAGCTCATACAATTTTTTAAACTTTTTAGAAATTCTTCTTTGGGTAAATTCTGACAGCACTTCATCCTACTGGTATCCTCAGCTACAAACTGGCCCTTCCCTTGGAAATGCCTGGTATCTCCCTACAAGATACTAAAGAGGGAATCTAACTAGTAAGACTTTCCCCAGGACCTACCTTACAATGCTATTCTGGCCATGAAATACATAGTGCACCTGATTACTACTGAGAGAACTAAGCCTTAGGCAGACATTCTCATTTCTAAGGCTAGTTTGTGATTCTGCTAAGCTGTCAACTAGAAAAAGAAAGGCAATTAGTTCCTTCATAGAATTCAGTATCTTATGACTTCCAAAGGGTAAATCAAATAAGGAGCAAAAGGAAATTAACTCTATATGTACAAATGTAAAATTCTCCTAAAGTCATTTTTCATTATAATCTATCTACCACACTTATTTTGATGCCATCAATGAGCTCAGATGTAGGTGAGGGATGAGCTTAGTGTCAAGTGTCATGTTCATGCATACAAATTTTCTCAGGAAAGGGATAATCAAAATGGTAGGAGAATTGAAACATGATGCAAGAAAAGAAGTCCTCAGTTTGACTGATGCATGGTAGAGCTATAAGCTCAGAGCCCTTATTGTCATTCAGTCTGATTCTATAGCATTACAGCTTTCTGGGAAAGCATATGTTATGTTTAAACGAAGCAACGAATCATTTAATTCTCACCACTTAAATACGTTGTAATCCTTCTTTCTCTTTACATATAAGAAACCTAAGTGTAGAGAAACTAAGTTGAAAACTGAGTTGAAATCAGATAGAGAGCAAGTCACACAGGCAATGCAATCTGACTCTGGGGCTTACAATTGTTTGCTACCTCATGCTGTTTTTAAGCTAATCCTAAAATTAGCCAAAATCGCTGGAAACTTTCTTAATATCATGGTAGAAATGCCACACTTGAAGGGATTGCATGGCTCTCAGTGATTCCCCGCACAGCTCTTCTTTTTGTGTAAGCTTCAAATTCTGCATATAGAGGATCTCTTGTGGAAGCTAAATGAATCTCTCTGTTATAATCCAGCAGCTCTAGGAAGGATGAATGATATGTCCTTGTCAACAATTAGCACAATTAACTTATAGGTTTCTTCCAAGCTGTCAGTAAGGTTGGAGAATATTTTTGATTGGAATGTGAATGGAGTGGATAAGCTTGAGAGCATAGAAGCTTAAAGACACTGAGCAACTTAGGATATGATACCAGAAGGAAGAAATGGATCTCAGATTCAGAACAGGGACCACTCACAACCCTAAACCCATTATTTTAATCCTGAGTCTCCCTGACTACCAGGTCAGATTTGCATTGTAAACCTTTCTCCCTTGTTCTCAAGTAAACATATATGATACAACTAGCATAGGGCCAAATAATTTTTTATACTCCATAAATACACATTTCCACCGTCTTCTACTGGTTAGTCAAGATACACGTGTGCATGTGCAATTTTTCAAATTGAGGTCTTGCTCCTAGCTCCTTTCTCAAGGATGCTATTTTCTTAAGGTTGGTCAGTTTCATCTGTTCAGTTCTGTTTCTACCACTTCCTCTGCTTCTAACTCCTGTTATTTATGATCTTGTTCCTTCTGTAATTATTGTAGTAAGTCATTATACAACAAAAACTTAACCCACTGAGGGGGATTAATTTATAGGAGGAGGATATTCTCAAATACACGCCATGTAAACCCTGGGATCAAAGACAAGAGTAATGTTCATTCCTTAATAGGAAATTTTGGAGGGGGAGGGGGAGGTTTTTGTTTGTTTTGTTTTTAGCAAGTCAGTATTTTCCTTTGTATCTTTTTGAATTTCTATTTTTTAACCAAACTTTAGACTTTTAAAAATGTGTTTTCATACCAAAATATTGTGAATTCCATTTGCTGAAAGCTACTGAAGTGTGAACTATTTCCCTTATGAAAGAGCAACAGATGAGGAAATGGAGATAAAAGTCTCCGGAAACTGAGTTTTACAAAGGAATATTCCACAACTGGCATCACAGCACAGCTTCATTAAAAGTATGTAAGAAAGTGGCCTTATGCAATGTGGAATAAAACACGGAGATTCAAAAAAATGAATAAAGAAAACTCACACTGCATATTCACAACAGGTTTTATAGCCATAGACTAAGTATCATCCATCACAAGATTTGTGTGCGCCATCCTCTCACAGATAATACCCATTTGGACACCACAGGGCTTCTCTGAAGGATTCTGGTAGGACTCAGGAACAAGGAAGATAATAACTCTCTATTAGCCAAAAGCCAGAAGAGCCAAAAAAAATGAAAAATGAGCTCCAGGTGCATTATTTTAACTTTTGCCTCTTGGTTTCTTTTGCTCATTGGGTAAGAAGAAACCTTTCTTATTTTTCTGACTCCCTTATTCTTCTAGGAGACAGCTATTTGTAGCTGCTCAATGTGGATATAGAGAAACCCAGAGTTACACTGCGGGTGACAGGATGCATTTGCACATTAAGAACAGGCAGAAAAGCCAATAAACAGATACTTGTTGTCTAGACAAAAAAAACTAGGCCAGATACAGCCAATAGATTGCAAAAGCCAACTTAGGCTAATGAGTAGTAGCTTCACAGGGTGCTGCACTGAGCTAGCTTATGAATCTGAATCCGGCTTAGAAAGAACTCCAAGATGTATTAATCAGGAGCCTGGGGGAAAAAGGGAAAGATGATAGCTAACGATGAGGAATATGTGCTAGTTCATTGCCCTCTATTTACTTGGGTCAAACACAAAGAACAAATAGCCATGGCTCGTCATAGCCCAGTAGGGTGAACAGAAAAGAAACCTATTGCACAGCCCTGACATAAAGAATCCCACTGCCCAGACAGTAAATTAGCACCAGGTACAGGCAAAGTTTGGGCTTAGTACCACCTGATTGTAGTGGTTAGTTTGAAGGGAATGGTGACATGGCAAGATGTTATATATATATATACATACATACATACATACATATATATATATATATATATATATATATATATATATCTCAGAGAATGCTTATGGCCGACAGACAAATGTCTATACCTAGGTATCTTCTCAAGTTTCCTATAGCAATGGAAATAAACAAAATATTTTAGTATATTCATGGAAATACAAATGAAATCATTTTGTTACATGTTATAGTCCATTTGGGCTGCTAAACAAAACATTATAAGCTGTGTGGCCTACAAGCAGTGGAAATTTGAGGGTCACAAATCAAGACGTAAGGAAGTCCAAGATCAAGGCACCAGCAGATTTGATATCTGGTGCAAACTCGCTTTCTGATTCATACATGGTACCTTCTACTTCTGTCCTTATGTGTTGGAAGGGACAAGAGAGTTTTTCAGGCTGCCTTTGTAAAGGGCACTAATCCCATTCCTAAGGGCCTTGCTCTCATGACCTTTCACCTCCCAAAATCTCTGTCTCCAAGTACCACCACTCAGGGATGAGAGTTGGGGAGAGAGCAGAATCTCAACACTGAAATTTTGAGTAGACGGAAACATCAGATCACAAGAACTATGATTTTGTTTCCATTAAAATTAATTTTTATTTTATTATTTGGGTACTGGGGATCAAAACCAAGACATTATACTTGCAAGTCAAGTACTTTGCCACTGAGCTACATCCCAGTCCCCATAATAAATTAATTCTTGACATGCCTACGTTCATAAATCTTCAAACCTATGAACCTTAAAGAGTTTAGTAACATTCTTCATTAGTATAATCCACTGTCACAATGTGAGAAGAGGCTCTGTCTCATACATTCTAACTTCAAGTCCTCTGTTCTTTCCATTAAAAATGTCTCCCTCTGACTACCCTGGAAAAGAAGAGATTTGGCCCCCAGAATACACACTGTCTACAATAAAGAGTATTTTTCTTAATATACGTTATCATTATTATTGTAGTCTTCGCTGTTGTGGTACATTTTGACATTAGAAATTATTGAGATAACTTGCACCCTTTATTTGGTTTCAAAAACTGTTTGTCCTAATGAGGAAAGATGAATTTAAATGTTACTGTGGGGGACATAAAATTCTCAACTTCCTTTCTAATTACAGGTGTCTTTCTCAGATTTCTTGCTCTATTAGCACTCATAAAATGTTCCAGGATTGGCAAAACTTCTCTTCTTTCAACCCACTACAATGAACTGAATGTAAAAAGGAAATTTGAAATGAAAGCAATCAAACTTAGATATAATATCAAGAATTTTCATTCAAGGAATAATTTAATGAACAATTATTTTAAAGAGATATTATCTAAGCATACATTTTTGAAAGATAAGCAGAAAGAAAACAATGAGAGCAATACATTCTTTAGAAAATATGGATTCTATTCAGATATAGTCTGGAAAATCAGGGGAAACATCAGAAATAAATTAGAATTTTGACAGTAGCTGGTATTGGGATATATAGTGATTCGAATGCTTATCCCTGGTCTCTTGGCTAATATCTGTTTGCCAAACTTCTTTTTGACATAATGTCCACCTCATGTAAGAAAGACTCCTTTGTTGTTTTCTTTGAAGGTATGACATCATGAATCTTCAGTACACTGAAGCTAATCGCTATGACTATGTACATGTGGGAACCTGGCATGAAGGAGTGTTGAACATTGATGATTACAAAATCCAGATGAACAAAAGTGGAATGGTGCGTTCTGTGTGCAGTGAGCCTTGCTTGAAAGGCCAGATTAAGGTAAACACCAGTGTTTTCTTGGATATTACTTATAAAGAAGTCTACTACCGGTTATTAATAGAGAGAGCCACAGGTACTCTTCTTAAACAAGAAGAGTGTGGCATGTTGACTTTAATAGACAAAAATGAGAAAAATGAAGTAAGTAAACTGGTAGATAATTGGAATTTATTTTTTATTAATAAGTTTTTCTTATTGTGAAAATACTGTACAGAAGGGTTACAATTACATGGACAAGGTAATGAGTACATTTCTTATCAAGCATTGTTGCCTCCTCCTTTGTTTCCCCTTCCCATCCCTTCCCATCTTCCTCCCACCCAGCCCCACCAAAGTTGTAAAGTTCATTTTTCAACATAACGGCTTGTACATCTCATTGTTGCAATGGTTCCACCTGTATCCCTATTTAAACGATTTGTTTTTTCCCTTCCCCTCCACAAATTATACCAACATCAAATACACTGAAAACAGGGGTTATACCCTGGAGGAGGGACATACAATGTTTTTATTACAATAATGGGCTAGAACTTTCATATAATATATGCAGCCACAAGATAAATAATTGAATGAAAAAATTGAAGCAGAGGTTAAAAATCCCAACCAATTAATGCTACTTAGTTCTAGTTCCAGCTGTTACTAACAAAAATAGTGGGGATCTGATGTACGGCATGGATTGTGAAGGATGTGTTCATTTAATTGTGAGCATCATTACCCACTGCATACATATATGAAAACTTCACATTGAACAACTTCTTAGCGAAAATCTTTTTTTTTAATTTTATTTTATTTTATTTGTGAACATGCTGTACAGAGGGGTTACAATTGCATGGGCAGGATAATGCGTACATTTCTTACCAAGC